TAATCTAATAACCTAATGGGTAATGAAAATGGGCATAGTTATTATGTATTTTTATTTATTTATTAAAAAGATTTTAAAAATTTATTTATTTTAGAGAGAGAGAGAGTGAGCGAGCAGGGAGAGGGGCAGAGGAAGAGATAGGCTCCTGAAGCAGACTCCCCACTGAGTGTGGAGCTGGACCTTGGGACCCTGAGATCATGACCTGAGCCAAAACCAAGTGTCAGCTACTCAACTGACTGAGCCACCCAGGTGCCCGTATTTATTTATTTTAAAAAATTTATTAATTTTTTTTTAAAGAGAGAGAGAATGAGCAGTGAGGGTGGCAGGGAAGGGGCAGAGGGAGAAGGAGAGAGAATTTCAAGCAGACTCCACGCTGAGTGGGGAGCCCGATGCAAGGGCTCGATCCCACGACCCCCAGATCACAACCTGAAAGGTAATCAAGAGTTAGATGCTTAACCCATTGAGCCACCCACGTGGCTAGTTGTACTCTTTTTAAAATCAGGTGGTTCCTTTTGCAGAAGACTAACTCCAGGACTGTAGTTTGATATTTCACTAAGGAATCTCCTCAAGTGTCAGAGACCAAATCTAGTTCTATTTGTTAATCAAATCAGTAACATTTATCCTTTCTGTGTTTTTACTTAATCAGGAGAGGAGAATTTCCTCAAACTCCTCTAACCTTTAATAAATATCAACTTCTTAAACTCAGTACCCCTGACATCCATTTCCTGATAACATCTGTTCTGTACTGAATGTAACCTTAGGGAGAAATCAGCTTCAGCTACTGGCTAAGTTCTTGATGGTTCCTTTGAGATCAGGTCTGGATACGAGGTTTCAGATTAGTTATAACCAGACTGCTAGGTTTTTGTTTTTCCTGGTAGTGCCCTAGATTTGCTCTCGAGAGGAGGGGAAGGGACCCTATCATCAGATCTGATAGAGTAGCACAGTATCTGATGCATAGTAGCCAATAAATACTTCTTAAATTGAGTTTACTTTTATAGTTCTCTTTTTAATCACTTTACACCAGCTCTGGTTTTAGTCTATTTTCTGGTCCCCTCTGGAGTCTGCGTAGACCCAGAAACACTGCATGGATGATGCATTTCCAGGTGGAGTATGACTGGAGCTTGCTCTCAAAGCATGTCTAGGTTTCTTAGATGTATTCTTTGTCCTCCAGTCCCATGCTCCCTGTTCCTTGGCCTATCAGCCCAACTGGGTTTTGGAATGAGACAGAGTTGGACAACGAGTCCAGCTGCTGAATGTGCTAGTTTCAAGGTTTTGGTCTTCGGTAGACATCAGCATTTTTGTGAAACTTATTAAATGTGCAAGTGCCTTGGCCCCACCTCAGACTTCCTGAGTCAGAATTTCCAGGGTTTTCAGAGTCCTGGCAAGTATATGAGAAGATGATTTTAGTGCAGTTTTAATGTAAATTATTGGGGAAATGCAGACTTTGGAAAGTATCTGTGGCTGGACCATGGCTATATGGTGGTAACAGAATGAGTTGCTGGAATTCCCAGGGGGCCAAGGGAGCAAACTGATGAATGCTTGCTATGTGCCAGGTACGTTGTATCCCATGTTATAGAAACCAGCTTTGAAGGAGAGATCAGGAGTCACCATATTTTTTTTTTTTTTGGCTTTCAGAAAACACTTTTCAAAGGTCATTTTGGATTTTAATCCTCAGGTATATTAGTTTCCTAGGACTATGTAAATTATCACAAACTTGGTGACTTACAGCAAGAGAAATTTATTCTCTCACAGTCGTGGAGGCCCGAATTCTGAAATGAAGGTATTGGCAGGACCATGCTTCCTCCAAAGGCTCTAGGGGGGAACCCTTCCTTGCCTGTTTCAGTTTCTGGCAACTCCTGGCAAGTGTTCCTTGGCTGGTGGCAGTGTCACTCCAATCTTGGCCTCGATCTACATGGTTTTCTCCTCCACTCCGTGTCACTTGTCATTGGATTGAGGGCCCACTGGATCATCCAGGACGACCTCACCTCGAGATTCTTAACTACATGTGCAAAGATCCTTTTCCCAAATGAGGTAAGGTTCACAGGTTCTGAGGATTAGGACATGAGGACATGGACATGTCTTCTTGGGGTTCACCATTGAAACCACTACACCAGGGAACGAGGCTTTATCATCTTTTCTTCTGCTAGTATTCCTTTTACACAATGGTTAGGATGAATACTTCTTTTTGAGCAATCCTATAGTCTTGTCCTCAGAATCTATGAGCATTTTTTTAATACAGAATTCGTTTAATGCATGATATATCATCTCCATTTCATTTATTAAGATGTAATAACTGGCAATGACCAGGAACACTCATTTAACATTGATAAACTTTAGTAGAAGCAATAAAGTAATTATTGGCTATAATTTAAAAATTATTATAATGGTTAAAAGAACTTCAATTAATTGAAACTTACAACAATCAATAATTGATTATCGTTGGTTCTGTTCTCTGGTATGCATGTGAACAAACTTGCTGCTCTTCACTTTGATCATACTACCTAAAAAGCAAAATGGTCATAAATGACATGTCTTCATTTTTGACCATCTGACCTTGTAATGATAAAACCAGGGTAAGCACTTCCTGGAAACCACAGACATTTGGAAGTGAAAGATCAACTCCAGGAAATCCATGGTTTCAGACAATAAATACTGAACCACTTTGCCAAAATCCATCGAAATTTAGTGTTTTAGGTCTAGATATTATTTTTTGGAGTGACAAGATTCTGGCTATTTATTTGAAAATAGAGATTTCAATGGCTCCGGGTACTTGGTACCTGAATCCAGCACATGTTTCCTGTAGGAACAGCTTAATACCTTTGGGTTTGATAATAGGGACAAATTTAAGATTATAAAATAATACTAGATTTCAGGGCGCCTGGGTGGCTCAGTTGTTAAGCGTCTGCCTTTGGCTCGGGTCATGATCCCAAATTCCTGGGATCGAGCCCCGCATTGGGCTCCCTGCCCCGCGGGAAGCCTGCTTCTTCCTCTCCCGCTCCCCCTGCTTGTGTTCCCTCTCTCGCTGTGTCTCTGTCAAATAAATAAAATCTTCAAAGAAAAAAAATAATACTAGATTTCTTAGCTTAATTGATTTGGAGAATAAGTTTGAAATCACTGTTTATTTTTTCAACTCACAGTGTCTTAATGCCATGGCCTTTTCTCTGTATTTGCAACCAAACGTCCCTCGGGCAGACTTTCAGCTCAAGTGCTTGTGGAAGAGTGTGGGCGCCCTCGTGAAGCCTCAGGTGTGTCCCATGGAAGCCTCAGGTGTCGAATGCTGTTGGAGCATTTATTTGTCTCAGTGAGAACTAACTTCATTGAAAGTTCAGGTTGATAGGTTCCTTTTTAAGACATTTTATTTCCAAGGCTACATAAATGAGTCAGTTTTATTTATTCCCTCAGCTGAAGTTGTTATATCAAATCTGTTATCAAGGTCAAAATATTTGTGGAATTAATCTTTTCTTTCTATTTTCCCTGCTACCACCTATGTCTAGGTTTTTATGACTTCATTCTTTGATTACCACAATAGGCTTAAAAAAACCCATTTTATTATGGAAACATTCAAACATGCAGAAGTAGGTAGAATACTATATTGAACCCCCTTGTACCTCTCAGGAAGCTTCATCAGTTATAATCGCTTTATTATTTTTGTTTCTTCCCCCTTATTTTTCTTTTGAAGATGTTTAAGCCTATCCCACTCATCGTGGAATATCAGTATGTATTTCTGATAGATAAGCAATCTGTGTCTCCCATTGCTTTCTAATTATTCTTTCTCTAATCTTATTTTTCTCACCAATTCAACAATTTCTAACTGTTCGGCATACTTTTATGAAACCTAAGAAGGTTTCAAAGGCTCAGTATTGCTTATTGAATCAAATGCAAACTCTTGTCCTGATTTATAAAGCCATCTTTTTCATTACCCCCATCTGTCTGATCGTCCATTATTCCCAAACAGGCTGTAAGGTGGGTCTCCTCACCACTCTGCCGAGGCCTTATTCATTCCTATCTTTGGCCATGCTCTTTCCTACCCAAATTCTCTGCATCCTAGAAAGCTCTGCTTGGGTGCCACTTCTAGGAAGCTTTTCCCAGCTCATAATAACTTCTTTCTGCCCTGAGCACTTGGGATTTAAACATAGTTCCTTTAACTTTAAATCTGGTATTTTTTAATAGTCTTAATTACTATAATCTGGGAAGTAGGCTCCTAATCACTGACTAGCAGCATTTGTTTTTAAAGACTTTAAAATGTTTGGGTGAATGGTAACTCTAGGGATACAGAGCAGGTCAGTGGTGCTGGACAGAATCTAGCATCACTATGGTAGGCAGAATTCTAAGATGGCTTCATGGTGTCTGCCCCTGGTGTTATTCCTGCGATTACATTATGTTACATGACAAAAGTAATTTTCTGGATGTGATTAAGGTTACTAATGAGTTGACCTTAAGATAGGGAGACTATCCAGGTGCACCTGATCTAATCACCTGAGCCCTTTAAAAGAAGAGTTTTCTCTGGCTGGTCACAGAAGAGGAAGTTAGAGAGATTTGAATCCTGAGAAAGATTACACCTACAATTATTGGCTTTGAAGATGAAGAAGGGGGGCTGTGAGCTGAGGAATGCAGGTAGTTTCCAGATAGCCAGAAAGAAAATGGGATCTCAGTCCTACATGCCAAGGAACCGAATCCTGCCAACAGGCTGAATAAGCTTGGAAGCAGATTCTTGTCCAGAACCTTTAGATAAGAGCCCTGCCCAGCTGACTCCTGGAGTTTGGCCTTGTGATATTCCATGCAGAGAGTACTCAGCTTTCTGACCTGCCAAACTGTGAGATAATAAATTGATGGTGTTTCAACTGCTAAGTTTGTGGTAATTTGCTATGCAGCCATAGAAAACGAATACAATAGATAACACAGGATTTGGGCTTGTAGTAAGTTTTATGCATTTTCTGCTATTCTTCTTCCCCCCAGTTTTACTGAGATATAATTGACATACAGCACTATATGTAAGTTTAAGGTGTACTGTATAATAACTTGACATATATGCATTGTGAATGGTTGCTACAATAAGTTTGGTTAACATCTGTCACCTCATATAGTTACAAACATTTTGTGATTTTCCTTGTGATGATAACTCTTAGGATCTGCTCTCTTAGTAACTTTCAGATATACCATACAGCAATGTTAACTGTAGTCATCATGTACAATGCATTCCCAGGACTTACTTATCTTGTACGTGCAAGTTTGTACCTTTTGACCACCTTCACCCAATTTCCCCACCTTCCACTCCCTTCCTCTGGTAACCACAAGCCTGTTCTCTTTTTCTATGAATTTTTTTAGGATGTTGTCTGTCATCCTTGTGCAGGGGTCATGCTAATGTTCTCTGTATCATTCTAGTTTTAGTATATGTGCTGCTGAAGTGAGCATCCTGCTACCTTACCAAGGCTCCAAATCAGGGTGCCTGGGTGGCTCAGTCGGTTGAGCGTCTGCTTTTGGCTCAGGGTCCTGGGATCAAGCCCCGTGTCAGGTTCCTTGCTGGGCGGGGAGTCTGCTTCTCCCTCTCCCTCTGTCTCTCCCCACTGGCTTATGCTCTCTCTCTCACTCACTCACTCTCTCTCTCAAATGCATAAAATCTTTTTTTTTTTTTTAAGGCTCCAAATCAGGAAGGAAGGTTTTCCAATAGACGGAGGCACTCATCTTAGCATGTATGATCATTGCGCAGACTAGCAGAGCCCTTAGTTTATGATCCTTTGCTTTTGTCCATCAGTTTCTGACTATAGACAGGAAAATTTCAAGGAGAGGAAGGTCTAGCTTTCCTATTGCCTGTGTTTTCAAAAAAGTCTTTAAGAGGGTCCTTGAGCAGGGGAAGGTAATTAGGGCAGCGTATCTGACCATCATTAGCACTGGTTCATTATATAGTCAGACTAACCATTACCTCTGGTATGAGATGGGGGCAGATTTTGAAGAGAATGTACCCTTAAGCTCTGCAGCCAGCCAAGATTTCAGATGGTAGAACTTGCTTAAAAGTAAGGGGTCACTGGGTGGCTCAGTCGGTTAAGTGTCTGCCTTCAGCTCAGGTCATGATCCCAGGGTCCTAGTTATGGAGCCCCACATCGGGCTCCCTGCTCAGATGGAAGCCTGCTTCTCCCTGCTTGTGCTCTCTTGCTCTCTCTCTGTCAAATAAATAAATGAAATCTTAAAAAAAAATAAACGCAGACACTTCAGGAACTGGTCAACAAGTCGTTAATGAGGATACTTAGGAAGATGAGAACTGAAGTTACATTTCTTCTGCGGCTCAGAATCAGAGAGGATGGGCAAGGGCTAGGTTAATGGGCAGCTATTTCTCCAGCCATGCACATATAACACAAACAAGTGGTTAGACATTTATTTGGGGTGCCTGTGCATGATTCATAAAGAACTTGTTCCTTATAAAATTTACTGCTGAATGACTCATTGTAGGATGATGATGAAGATAAGGCTTCTAATTTAAAGAGTTAGGCAACCATCTTTTTAAAAATTGACTTTGTGAGGTATAGTTTACATACAATAAAAGGTATACTTTTTAAGTGTATAGTTCACTAAGTGCATACACCCATATAACCATCACCATAGTCAAGATACAGCACATTTTAATCAACTAGACAGTTCCCTTGTACACACTCCTTTGCAGTCAATCCCTCTCTCCACTCACTGTTCTAGGCAACCATTGATCTGATTTCTATCACTATAGATTCATTTTGCCTCTCTAGCATATCATATAAATGGAACCATACAGAATGTACTCTTTTGTGTTTAGCTTCTTTCACTCAGCATGGTGCGAGAACCATGAGATTCATCCGCATGGTTGCATTTGCTAGTAGTTATATTTTTATTGCTGGATAGTAATTAATTGTGTTAATAACACAATTTGTTAGCCATTCACTTAGTGGTGGACATTTGGGTTGTTCCAATTTTTGGCTATTATGAATAAAGTTGCTATGAACAGTCTTTGTGTGGACATATGGTTTTGTTTCATTTTGGTAAAGGCCTAGGCATGGAGTAGCTGGTTCAGATGATAAGTGCATATGTAACTTTAAAAGAAGCAGTCAAACTGTTTTCCAAAGTGGTTTTACCATTTTTCACTTTCATTGGCAGTGTGGAGGAGACCCAACTATTGTCCATCTTCCTCAATACTTGGTATTGTCAGTGTTTTTTAAGAGTTAGTCTTTAAATTTGAGAAACAAGACAGAGGATCATAGGGGAAGGGAGGAAAAAATGAAACAAGATGAAACCAGAAAGGGAGACAAACCATAAGCGACTCTTAATCTCAGGAACCAAACTGAGGGTTGCTGGAGTGGTGGAGGGTGGGAGGGATGGGGGGCTGGGTGATGGACACTGGGGAGGATATGTGCTATGGTGAGCACTGGGTATTATATAAGACTAATGAATCATAGACCTGTACCTCTGAAATAATACATTATATGTTAAAAAAAAAAATAGTAGGAAGGGAAAAATGAAGGGGGGGAAATTGGAGGGGGAGATGAACCATGAGAGAATATGGACTCTGAGAAACAAACTGAGGGTTTTATTTATTTTATTTTTTTTAAAGATTTTATTTATTTATTTGAGAGAGAGAGAATGAGAGACAGAGAGCATGAGAGGGGGGAGGGTCAGAGGGAGAAGCAGACTCCCCGCCGAGCAGGGAGCCCGATGCGGGACTCGATCCCGGGACTCCAGGATCATGACCTGAGCCGGAGGCAGTCGCTTAACCAACTGAGCCACCCAGGCGCCCCCAAACTGAGGGTTTTAGAGGGGAGGGGGGTTGGGGGGTGGGTTAGCCTGGTGATGGGTATTAAGGAGGGCACGTTCTGCATGGAGCACTGGGTGTTATACACAAACAATGAATCATGGAACACTACATCAAAAACTAATGATGTATGTTGACTAACATTGCATAATAAAAATAAACTAAAAAAAAAGAGTTAGCCTTTAAAAAAAATGATTTATTTATTTTGCGGGGGAAGGGACAGAAGAAAAGGGAGAGAATCTCAAGCAGACTCCCTGCTGAGCATGGGTCCCGAAATTGGGGTACAAATAGGTTAAATAATTTTATTGGGGTGTCCTATCTGCTAAGGAGTAGATACAGGAAGTCTATAGAAAGTCCTTACCAATCTGGACTGATGACCCATCACTGTTTAGTGGAAATCCAGGGCAATACATTTATCTGTAGGTATGGAAAACCACTATACTTGTTACCTAGTGATCGGGAAGAATGTAGGAAGGAATGGTATATTATTTCTTATATGTAATAATATAATGGCATGCAACCCAGGAACTCGATTTATCTCACTAATAAGAAAATAAGAGAGGCTTGGTCTAGATTCATCAATACATAGAAGCAATGTGGCATTTTGAACAAGAGCATAGGATCAGGAGCCTGCATGAGCTTGGACAGGTTAACTTCACTCTTGTGCCTCAGTCTCCACATTTTTGTGAAAATTAAGTTAATTAACAAATACAAAGTATTTAAAACAAACAAACAAACAAAAAACCAAAAAAAAACAACAAAAAAAAAGAAAGTCCTTACCAATTTCCACTATAGAAATATACATAGCATAAAGGGTCTTAGAGAGAAACACAAAATTTAGTAATGTGTACATGAGGAGGTAAGTTTGTGAGGGTATTTGTGAACATGTGTGAGTATACAAGAGTGTGCATGGTATGTGAAAGCTCATACCTCAGAGTCTTCCCAAATGTGTTGTTTTCCCTTGACCACTCCTCTTCACTTTTAGTCAACTTAACTTATCCTTAGGGTTTAGCTTTTTTTGGGGGGGGGGTAAGGGGCAGAGGGAGAGAGAGAATCTTTTTTTTTTTTTTTTAATAGGGTCTTTTTTAAAAAAGATTTTATTTATTTTGAGAAAGAGAGAGAGAGGGCACAGGGGGAGGGGCAGAGACAGAGGGAGAGAGAAAATCTGAAGCAGACTTCACGCTGAGGATGGAGCCCAACACAGCTCATGACCTTGAGCTGAAATCGAGTGGGCGCTCAACCGACTGAGCCACCCAGGTGCCCCGGGGTTTAGCTTTAATATCACCACTTGAGGGAAGCTTGTTCCATGCTTTCATATTATGTTGCTCTTTTTTTCCTATCACAATTGTAATTGAATTTACAGAAATATTTACTTAATGGATATCTTTTCCACTGTACTGCAGGCTCCATGGGGCCCATTTCCCACCATGTATCTAACACATAACAGTTTCTGGCATGGAGTATGTGCTATTTGTTGAGTATGTGTATTCTGAGTGAATGAATGAGTGAATGAATAAATATCCAAGAGTAAGTAGGTTTCCTTTCTCAGATTGCTATTCTGAGAAATTCATTCTTCTTGGTGTATAGGTTTATGAGTTTTTACAAAAGCAAAAAGTCATGTAACTACCACAATAGTGAAGATATAGAACACTTTTGTCTGTTCCCTGTGCCCTCCCCCTCCCCCCAAATTCCCTTTTGATAACCTGCCATAATCAAATTTTACCCTCATCCTTCGACCTCTGGCAACTACTGAGAATTGCTTATTTTACATAATCCTGGGCTCTTCTTTTCTTTTCCATCCTGCCTTGTGTGTATTTCAGCTGTCTTACCACTCAGTAGCACTCCTATGTATTTTATCAGAGAAATGAAATTAATTTAGACCATTGTCTCACATGGAATTGATGCTCACATGGAATCATTTAAGTAAATAACTTGACTACTTGTAAGAATAGAAAGAGAGATACTAGGTCAACTGGGTTTTTGTCCGTGGCCTATCATTTTTACTCTGTTTGCAGCTCTTAACATCTGTACACACCTCTGTTTTACTACCCCTGGTTTAATCCAGCCTTCATGATCTTGTCTAGATCATTGCAATGGCCTCCTCACCGATTGCATGCCTCTGATATTTCTCTGCTTATAGTTCATCTCCACACTTCACCCAGGGTGAACTTACTAAGACTTTAAGACTTCAAGCTCTTTGGTGGCACCCTCTGGAGCCTCAGGACCCTGACATGCTATTCAGAGCTCTTCACGAGGCCCCTCTTATTTCTTCAGGGTCATCATTGGTCCTGTTCATTGCACTCTGTGATATTCCACTGTCGTATAAGTACCGCGCGCTAACCGATTGCGCCACTGGAGCTCCTGTGATATTCCAAATGTACCAAATTATTTGACATTTTATAAATATGCCATATATTTTATCTTTATAAAAGCTTTTGTTCAAGCTGCCCTGAGAGCCTTTCTTTACCTTATCTGTTTGGTGAACACCTGCTAACTATTGAAGACTCTACAGGCTATCTCTTGCCTTTCCAAAGACCCTTCGACTATTCCCTCTTTTGTCCCCATTGTTCCCTGTCCACCCTCTGCCTAACACCCATAGTTCCTAATTGCACACCTATGTTCACATATTTGTCTCCACTTA